TTTTTTTTTTTTAATTAAGAGCTCAATTATTCGATTAATTGGAAATTATGATTACTGAAAAGATCAGTTACTCGAGTAATCAAGAATTGGATTAACCAAAAACTAAAATTTGCTTTATGATTAATCACCACTATGACTAAAATGAGTAATCAAATTTTCAAATTACTCTTTATATATAAAGAAGTAAAAGTCCTTGTTATTTTTATTAAATGAAATATTTTTTTCATATGTATACACATTGGGCCACATTAATAAAAAACGATGCAATTGCTTTTTTTTATTAAAATTACAGACCTTTTACTTGAATTTGTTTGAATAAAGCGAGTAAAAGGTCTGAAATGTTAAGAAAAAGCTTGTAAGCAATAGCTGGCCACACACGACGAACATGTGAGCGAGCATTTTCGTGCTTGCGGTGGTTGTTCGTCGTCTGTGGGGCGGTTTGCGAGCATTGCATTGAAAAAAAAAAAACAACCTCATTTTGTGTTTATGCTTGCAGTGTGCTCATCGGCGGATAAATGCATCCAAGCAATGAGTATTAAATAACCTAAATCAAAAGCATTGCAATTTCATCATCCGCGTCTTTACTTACGCTTTCACGACAAAATCACATATGAGCCGCTCACCGTCTGTAGCAAAGGACAGCGAGCATGTTGGCGAGCATGCTCGCGTACATGTACGTCGTGTGTGGAAAGTGTTAGTTTTTGATTCATACGGCCCATTATAAAAAAGAAGTTAAGCATTTTCCAAAGCAAACTCTTTTAACAAGCAAAATTATAATTTTTTGAGTCAACATGTCTTAAATAACTTGCTTAATCATCGTTTTGAGTTTTTAAAATCTTGATTACTTGAGTAATTGATTAACCGAACAACTGTTTAACCAACTTGTTCGAGTAATCGAATGACCGCACAGCCATAATTAAAAGCAAATTCTTCGTTGATGTTTTACTTTCACAAGTACAAGAAAACTAAAAAGCTTGGTCGTAATCTCGAAAAATCTAATCTACAAAAACAAAATGCATGGTGAAAAACTAACCAGTACCAAGCTGGGTGTGAAGAACCTATATAAAAAAAATCATATTATTGTGTTCTTCTATAGACTTTGTTATATAAACATTTTCAAACGCCGAAACAAGTAACATGTTTGCATTCAGAAACCTTATGATAACAATGTCACTAGCTTATGCACAAATCATTAATTGAAATCCTAAAATCCCCAAAAAAATTGCGAAAACTTTCATCCGATCGAAGGTTGAAAATATCCGCATTTTCATTCAGTAAATCCTACTATATATCTATAATCATGCATTGAACCTTGCAAAGTATCGCACAGTGCCTCATTCGCATTTTCCGTACAATATTTCTATTTTCAATCGCATTTACTAAGGCATCTGCCACCAAAACATGAAACCTGCCATGGGTGCTCGTAAAGTGTGGGTGAATTCATATACATATGTAAAAAATACTAAGCATCAGTCTCTTTTATTTCTAAACCACACTATAGGAAAGGTACATATGTACATGAACATTAGAGTGGTCTAATTTTTGTATGGGGAAAAAATTTCATCCTAGAAAATGGGGCACCCCCGTAGTTTTTAGAAGTGTTGGGCAGTATCGATACCAAAAGTACTCAAACCTCAATGCTCAAAAGGACCGACCGCACTCGATTTTTAGAAGTATCGATACTGAGTACTCCAAAGAACTCAGTACTCAAAAAAGAAATCGAAAGTACTCAGTACTCACAGAGGCACTCGAAAGTACTCAGTACTCACAGAGGAACTTGAAAGTACTCAGTACTCAAACATACTCTGTATAAGTACTGAGTTTTCTTTACATTTACCGGTATTCAGAAATGATGCTACTCAATTTGAAGCTTCAATAGTTTTCAAGTACAATACCAATTTGAATAAAGTGCTGCCAGCTTGTGAGATTTCTACTCTACTCTAAAAAATGTCTATTATTTCGTGTGTATGTCCAAGGAATTTGTACATCTGATACTTCACCAGCCTGTTGCCTCACTCTTTCCTCCAGAAATAATGGCACGGGCATATATTTCTGTTGCAAACATGGGTTGCCTTGAGCTCTTTTTTCGCAAAAAAAAAACTTAATAAAAGCGTACTAGAAAACTTAGCAAATTTCTTACGAGCTGCGTAATGCGTTAAGGAAATTTGACACAAGAAAATTTCTTAACCATTTCTTGTACGTCATTTCATATGGAGTTTTTGCTTTTCTTGAGAGCTGCATAGACTGTGTTGTTCGTTTCATTTACACACGGAGATTTGTGTATGCAATTGTTGTTGTCAGCTGTGAACCGCTAACTCAATTTACACAGACGAACGAGAGCACAAAGCGTGTTGCCCGAGCACGAGCAACTCGGTGCCCCTCTCCTTTCCTCGTCACGCTCTCTCCCACAAACGTCGAGTTGCGGCAACAAAAATCGCCGTGTGTAAATGGATTAACATTTACTGTGGGGAAGAAAAAGAATGAGCACTTGAACAGTTCAAAGTCGACCGACGTGTTGCTCGAAAGAAAGGCTCGGCAAAATAGAGGGGGCTTACATAATCGCAAAAATGCAGAGGGAATTGTGAACACGCTTACGAAGAATTCGAGCATTTCAGGAAGGAAATTGGTATTATTTTATACGGTGTTCACATGAGGCGATTTTACAGGCAACTTTTAGTTGAAAGCAACAATCGCCTGGTATGAACGGACTTTCAACTAATCGCTTCCAATGAAGATGGGGTACAGCCATCTTTTGATTCAACTAATCGCCTGGAATATCGCCTCGTTTGAAGACCGTATAAGG